TGGGGGGTGCCCTGTGGGAAAATGGGTCTGTCGTTTCACACTGGCTTCACTCTTCCTTGCCACAGCGCCAGCCACGGATGTTGGCTCCCCTGCTCCTTCTGCGCCCTCTGCAGGTCTGATCCACGGCCCTGGGCAAAGGGGCAGGGTAGCTCTAACGCAGTGGGGAACGCACACAGGACCAAGGCAGTGCAGAGCCTGTTTGCTTGTTAGCAGCCGGAGCGCAGCGCTTACCCCTCTAGCCAGAGACACAGGGAACCGGGAATGCGAGCGACTTTCTCTCACCCCGCAGCCTGCTGGCAAATGGCTGAGGTGTTTGCACAAGCGACTGCTGCTGGCTCTTCTACCAACGCTGAGCTGAACCCAACAGAATTTGAATGGTGAGTTCAAGAGGCCCTCGAGTCTTCCTAGCCTGTGGGGCAGCCCCTCCGTGTGGGGCCTCAGGCCACACACAATCCAGAGCGAGGGCTGGCTCATTGGCCTGCACTGCCCCCGGGAGAAGTGCCTGTCCAGGAAGCCTGTTGGCAGAGTTACTTGTAGCCCCTCTTGTCCCTGCTCCAGCCGGGTGAAGGGGTGGGAGGGAGGTGAAACAAACCCCCAGTGGCCGGCTGTGGGACTTGTGGCGGAGGAGAATGAGGATTTGTGGCCCTCTCGTGGCTGGTCCATAAAGATGTCTCACTCGGCGACGGAGCTGGCTAAAATACAAAGCTGCGTCTTTCTTTTGGACTGGCGCCAGCCTGAAAAACTTGTGGCCCAACTTCTGTCTTTTGACTACAGGCACATGGGACATTTTTCTCCCTTCTTCCTGTCCCGATTCCCCTGAAGAGTGGGAATGGACCCCCAAAAGAACATCTTACAAATTGCATTTTCATTTTGATCAAAAAGCCCTTTGGAATGGAGGCGGCAGTGTTTTTGGTGAAAAGTGCTGACCAGCTGCGGTGTCCAGCTAGTGCAGGGATTCTCACCCCTTTTCCTGCTGGGTCCCCCCTACCCTGTACTTTCTAGGAGTGGACCCCAGAAATCCAGATTCATGAAGGTACGTTGGAGTCGCAGTGTCTATCGCACGGAAACTTACCACCAGGTGCAATTCTCAGCCCCTGAGCTGCGTGAATCCAGCCCAAAGTGACTTGCTTAGCGTCGTCCAAGCAAAACCTACATCCCCCGTGTCCTCGCCCACTCCGCCAAGCTCCAGGAGGGGCAGAGGTTTCACAACCAAGCCTTACTGGTGGCCCAGACTTAACTCACGTTAATACAGCGGACACCACAATGAAACAGTTTCAGCCTATGAGCCACTCTCTGGGCCGAGGCTGGAGCTGTGTCATCCATGACACAATCTACTGCAAAGCATGGTCGAGTAAATGGAGGAATCCGTGTGACTGTGACCCTGACACCTGCAGATTGGAGGCAAGCCATGTGCCGAGGGTGTCGGGGTGATGCAGGCAGCATGATGCAAGGAAGTGGGGTTGGAGGCATCCGTGGGGACGTCAGCCCCTGCCATGCAGAGTCATGTTCAAAAAAGGAAACCTCTGACCTTGGTGTTCAAGTCACTCGGGCTAACAAAGCCTGTGATCCCGCCGCTGGGTTCAAGTCTCCCCTCCGCCCTGTCTCGTAACTGACTGAGGAGCCGTTTCTGGCAGTCCGGGTGTGTGCCCTAGTTTCTGGGGTACTGTGAAGGGGGAGATTGCTTTGCCTTAGGAAGCTGTTCCACATTCGTTAACTGTTCTTTGGGTGACATGAAAGGCGACAATTTCTCCATGGGCTGGTGCGTAGGCAATGTGCCTGGATCATGGGAGCTGCAGGATGAAACCCCTCCCCAGGGCTAGGTGCTGAATGCAGCTCTGATCTTTGCAATAGGGGCCACTGTTCCACTTCAATTAAATGTTCGTTGGGCCAGCAGCTCCTGCTGTAAGCTGGTGGCTGGCTTCGTACCTCGAGTGGATGTGGGGGGTTGAATCTCCCCTGGGGTCTGGGGATCCGTCTACACTGCACGCTTATTTCAAAATAGCTCATCGACACCACAGGGAACCCTCAAAATGAGCCCGAGGCAGGCTCCCCTAAAGTGGACAGGCTATCTCGAGTGAGAGCCCCAAAAGTAATGACTGTGAATGGCCCGGGGGAGGAGCTATTTCGAAACAGCTGCAGTGGGGCATTCACACGACTGCTATCCCAAAACAGCTGTCTCGGAAGGGGCGTTGTTCCCCGAGGAATGAGGTTTACAGAAGTCGGAATAAGTTCTTGTGAATTTATTTCGAAATAACTAAGTTGCTGTGTAGATGCCCCCTGGGTGACCTCCTCTTTCTGCTAGACCAGCCAAAGCGGGGAACCTTCCCTCTTGCTTGTTGAAGCTGTTCCATATGAATTACATGTGGCTTGAGCCAGCCCCATAACTACCCTCACTCTCTAGTCCTGTGCTAGGCTGCTTGGCTGCATTGCGGGAGAGCCGGGTTCAAAGCCCCCAGCTGCCTGTTCAGCTGGAGTTTGCACAGGGATTTCCTGTCTCCTGGGTAACTGTCCTTTGTGGTGGGGCCGTCTCTCTGAAGTGGAGAGAGCCTCCAGTTCACACCAGCCTGGTGTACCCCGGTCCTGGTGGACAAAGAACAATGCGGGGGAGGTTTGCATCTGGCTGCAATTCCTCTTAACCAAAAGGAGCAAGAGGCCCTGTGAAATGACCCCAGTCCAGAGAGCTCACACCTAGGGCTGCCAGATGGTTTTAGAAAAAATACCGAAAAAAAAGGGATCCCAAGAGTTGTTAAGCAAAGCAAAAACACCAACAAAAAACCCAGCATGGCCCCTTCAAGAAATGTGTGGTGAGGCTTTATGGCCCTAACAGGCTGCCGGCGGCTGCCCGCCATCTTGCCTCCCTGCACGGGGCTGGACAGCTCCCTGCGGAACCTGGTGAGCACGAGGGTTGCCAGGCTGCCTCCGTATTGAGATAGACAGCCCAGGATTTTCGCCTCCTGGCTGGGAAAAACATCAGAAAGTACCGAACATTTAAGGTGTCCAGTATTTTCTGAATTTTTTTACCGAGCAGGAGGTGAAAATACCAGACTGTCTGGTTCAATACTGGACACCAGGCAACCCTAATGCTCACCAGCCAGAGTCAGCGGAGGCGGGATTTGAACTAGGGTCTCCCACAGCCCAACCACAGGAGGCTCCAGAAGTGGATGTTGGCTCAGTTAATATGGAGTGAAAGAGGGATGCCTTCCACAGGAAATAGGGTTCCCCGAGGGTTGAAACAAAAATATATACCCCCCCACCCAAAAACGGGAAAAAATTCTGTTGAAGGGAAAAAAGGGGGGGGGAGACCAAAGTTGTTGAGCACATAAAAAAAAAAGACTCCAAGTAAGCCACACAAAAAAAATTAAACAGCATTAAAACAGCATGTCCCCTTTAAGAGTGAGTGCAGGGATAGGAACAGGGGAGCGGTTGAGCACTAAGCCCCAGGGGAAGCATTCTGTGCCCGGCAGCCTTGGGGAACCAGGTAAGCATGGGGTCTGGGGGTGTTGGGAGCCAGGTGGGAATTCGGAGGGGTGGGGGGGAGGCCGTTAACTTCGCCTCCCAGCAGGGGGAAAAATTCAGAAAATTCTGGACATTTTAGGTGTCCAGTATCCTCTGAATTTTTTTACTGGAGCTGAAAATACCGGACTGTCCGGGTGAATACCGGACACCTGGCAACCCTAACAGGAAAGACTGAGGGAGTTTCCATCTCGGCATCCCTCTTAGCCCAGCACTGAGGCCAGGCACCTGATAGGGGAGAAATTGTCCCCTTGTCAGCAAGGGAATTGAACTAGCACCCGCCCCATGCTGGGCAAGCAGCCAAAGCAACGTGCTACAGGGAGAGGCGGACGGTAGCTCTGGCCTGATTACTAGTGAATTAGTTACTGAACGCGGATCAGAGTTCAGGAGCCCTCACAGCAGCAGAGGGCCTGGCCTCTTAGGCGAGTCACTGGAGAGGTAAGAGGTCAACATTCAAATCCCTGCCCTTCTAGCAGAGGAGGATTTACGTCCCCGGCAACACGCAAAGCACCACACCCGAGATGGCGCCAGGCCCAATGAGCACTCTGGCCCAATGAGCACGTTATGAAAATGGAGCCGGGGGGAAGCTCCGCTGCCCTTCAGGACGTCTCTGAGCTCACCGCTGGAGGGGCACAGGGAAGGGGGGCGAAGCCCCTTCTCGGGAAGCTGAGCATGGCAGCGGGATTTTCTCCGTCTCTCGTCAATGAGACCGGCACAGAGCTGCACAGAGCCACCCAGCATCTGGGGCGCACACCTGAGAGAATGCCCAGCCCCCTTCTCGCCAGGCAGAACGGGGACACTGAATCAGAATCTGTCATGTCCCCCTAAGTGCCCTGCCCAGCGGGCTAATGGACATGTAGGAGGCCTTGTCTCAGGCCCCTCAGGTGAGAGCTGGCAGATCCCTGTTCCAAGGCAAGGAGAGGGCCCTAACCCCCCAGCTTACGAGGGCTCCTTGTGGATCAGGCCCAAGAGATATGCTACTGAAGTGGAACCGCTTCAGAGGAAGGACACAGGCAGCCTCCAGCACAAGTCTCAAGCGGAAGGGGGAAGTGAAGCCCCTGCGTAGCGTGGATTTGACCCTGCACAGGTGAGTGTTCACACACGAGAGGCTGATGACCAGGAAACACATGACCCGGGTGTGGAGAAGGGGCTAATCCAAAGCCCACTGAAGCTGTGGAAAGTCTCGGCCACCCAGCCTTGGATTAGGTAGTGCTAATGCTGACAGCTGCGCCGCGCTTTGCTTCGTGCTGCTCCTGCTCTCCAGAGCAAGTCTTAAGAACTCTTCTGTAGCCAGATCCGCCCCACCCTGGCAGGGCTGGCTAACAGCATTGTCAGTGCAGGGAAAGAACGGACAATGGGAACATGTGAAAGGGGGTTCTCACCTTTTAAAATTGCCCCCCCCCCCCCCCAAAAAGGGTGCAAACCAAAAAAACACCCCTCCCC